CTCAGCAGCTCTATAAAAATCCTTCTAGATTTTTGTATGTGATTTCCCTTTTCTTTCTGTTAGCAACCTCTGCCCACAATCCTCAGAATTCAGTTCATGCCACCCTGTGTGAGAATCAACCTCTCCAAAAGCAGTTCCTTCTGGCCATTTTCTTGTTAATTCTACAGGCTACCCATATTTCTAAAATCTGCTTATACTAAGCGCCTTTGATTTCTATTTTGTTACTCCAATAAAATGCTTTATTAGTATGTTCTTTGACTCTGAATATGTGTTATTATCAAGTTGTTGTCATTTGTTTGTGCTATTAAAATGATTGGCACTGTTTTCAATCATATCCATGAATGAAGTAGTATAAAAGCTGGCAAAGGGTGTCCATAAGTTCTTTTTAGAAAATATATTTGCCTCTGATTTTTATTTATCTTTCAGTTTCTTCTCAGAATTCCTAACAAAATCCCACATGTTTATATGTTTGTTTGTTCGTTCGTTCGTTCATTCATCCATCCATTCATTCATTCATTGCTGTATAGCCTAGATCAGTCTGGAAATTTCTGCATAGTTTAGTGATCTTCCTGAATTACAAGGTTGTTTGTTTTTTAATTACAGTGTCCAGTTGGGTAAACTAACCTGAAACTGTTCCGTTAACTGACCATTCATGTGAAGGGCTTTGCTATGGAAGCCAACATGCAAATTGCCTCATAAAGCTTTTCTGGAAGAGTGAGTGAGCTTGCTTTTTCAGAAGAACTGTTCTGGGGTTTGGTTCAAATGGCCTGTATACATGCCTTTATACAACCCTAGGTACACAAAGGTATGTTTGACGAGTGGGAATATCTTTATTCCCATTCTCAGCATCTGCTCCTACTCCTCTCTGTTGTTACCAATCTCTGTAATGTCACTAAAGTTGTTCTCTTTTCCTAAGAGCTTCTCATAAAAGGCAGCTAACATCTTCCATATCAGCAATTATACTAATGCAAAAACGTAGCTTATTAGAAAATTCTTACAGGATGTCTCTAAAACAACTGTGTAAGGAAACATAAAGGAGCTCTGGACCCAGTGAAGAAAAGCTCTGAGGAGTTTAAACTGCATCTTAATGTCACTGCAGAGTCCCAGGTCTTCTGACTGACCTGGGTTCTGCTGAGCAGGTTTGCTTCTTTTGAGCTATAGGTCCTTCCACACCCTGCTACTGCACTGTGATTGTTTTTCACAGGAACAACCTAGGAAATGTCATTTGCCTAGAATAGCATCCCTTATTAGTGTTTTCACTTTTGATGTTTCGGTTATCCACAGTCAACCATGATCTGAAAGCAGCAAATGGAAGACCCCAGAAATACATAATTCTTAACTTGTAAACCGTCCGACATTTGGAGTAGTTTCAAGGAATCTGTACCATCTACTCAGGACACAAATTATCCCTTTTGTCCAGTATAACCATGCTGTAAATGCTACCTGCACACTAGTCACTTAGAGCGTGGCTCAGTTATTGGATTGATCACCGGTGTCACCGTAATGTATTCAAGTAGCCCTTAGTTAAAAATGAGTCTTGAAGTACTAGCATTGACAGGTTGGTGGTCTGGATATTTGTCAAAAAAGAAGCCAATAAAGCACTTTCTTTCCTTGAAGAGAGCAACACTCTTAAAGCACAGAAGAAAAAAAAAAAGCCATATGTTAAAGTTGCTAAGTTCTTTAGAATCCTCCATCCATGAAATTGCAAAGAGGAAAGACAAAAATCCATGCTAGTTTTTCTGCAAAAGCTGTGTTCACAATGTATGCGGAATGCTCAGTTAAACAGGAAGAAGCTGTAATTTTGGGCTTTAGTTCTTTTGAAGTCTTATTCATCCACTGGGGAAGGGGTACTGGGTCTAATGGTTACTCAATATGTGAAGACTAGCTTATCAGGTATCTTCAGGCCTGGCTGCAAAGTTCTCCTCTGTGGCCTAGCGGGGCTGCTCCTCCCAGGGTCAGATGAAAGGGGAGGAGGTCCTCCCCTATCAGTGGACTTGGAAAGGGGTAGGGGGAAGATGAGGGAGGAAGGGTGTGATTGGGAGGGAATGAGGGAGCAGGATACAGCTGGGATACAAAGTTAATAAACTAATACTAAAAAAATATAAAAATTTAATTAAAAAAAGAGATGTGAAGACTAGCCCTGGGGTCACACAGTTCATGGTCCTGTTTCAGTGGGATGTAAGGCTGGGGATCGTCTCCTCTGCTTCATCCACTAGTCCTTTCCACTTGGCTTTCTGATTTCAAAATCAGCTGTCCCATTCCATTTCCTTTATCATTCGGGCACCTTCCCCTTTAAAATTCTGCTGCTTTCTGATTTCAAAATCAGCTGTTCCATTCCATTTCCTTTATCACTCTGGCACCTTCCCCTTTAAAACTCTGTTGTTTTTTTCCTTTGATAGAGTCTCAGGAGGAGGCGAATAAGGTATGGGTTTTGTTTGTCAGGCTGAACTAGAATACTGAACCCACCCAGATAATGGGGATATTGTTCTGCCTTGCTGTATTGGGTATAGTTATAAATGATTTGGATACTACTTAAAAACATCAGTGATTCTATGGGTTAATGGCTCAGTTAGACAGCTTTTCCTGTCTCCATGGATCAAATTAGTTGGAAAAGAGAAACATCTCTGCTTATTTATGTCATGTAAATAGAAACTTAGGTGAAAATTATATAGCTGTATGGTATTTTAAACCACATTTCATTTAATAATTATTTTATGTGGTTATTTTAGTTTTAAAAAAAGCTTTAGAAAGAAGTTTTAAAATAATTGGATTTCCAATTTCAGTTGATTCTCTACTCTAAGGAGTTTAATGTCTTAATAGCAAATCTGTTTAAGACTCATTGTTCTATTTAAGGCAGAAAATAATTCTTCCACTATGTGCTTACTGGTAAGAATTACATGCTATGTTATCTTGGTATGGCAGCCAGCTGGGCACACAGAGCATAGACTATAGTGTTCTAGACACCAAGATATTCCCGTTTAGGTGCTCATTAATGTTAGATTATTTCAGAACCCTGAGGTATTTTATATAAACAATTGCATATTTATGTGTTTGGGATTATGTGTTTAGTGCAGGTATTCAAACTTATTGAAGTTACACAAATCTGTTCTGCTTATTACTTTCATTTTCAGAGCATTTGGACTAAATGTATATTCAACTGCTGCTTATTGAAGATCTGATAAGTACTGGTACTTTGTAGAGAGTTGGCAACTTCAATACGATTCTCCCCTTTGGCTACTTCATCTTATCAGAGAATTAGAATTAGTGATTATGTCTATAGCAGAGTTCATTAAACCCAAGTAGAAAGAATGAGGAAGGCAAAGTAAAATGCTTATTAGGCAGCTGCTAATAAGCTTCTCTTAATAAAAAGGAAGAGAGGGAGTGGAAATAGAAAGATGCATCATTTAGCATTGCAGAAGTCCAGTCTTTGTGTTTATGACCACAATGCAGAAAGGTTCCACACTGAAACCTGCCTCTTTAACTCTTCATAAGAACAAAGTGAAGTAAGACAAGAGCTAAGACTGATCTCCACACTGACACCTCCACCACAAATAACTTTGTCCCTATAAGGAGTCATGTGCAGAGAGAGTGGGGCCATTCAAAACAGGCTGCTGTTACAGGATATTTGACCACGCAGTGAAACTGGTTGTTTACTGGAAAAACCTGTTTCTAGGTGTGGTGTGGCTCAGCCCCAGCACACACCTCTAATCTAAGAGCTTTCTACTTGAACAGGATTAAACAAAGTCAACCAAAGTTCAAGAGGTGGGGCAAACGAACAGCTGACAGGGAGTGAACATAAGAAAAGACCATAGAGAGAAAGAGGAAGTCAAGACACAGGAAGAGAAGGGATGGTCATTGAATTTGAGGAGTTTTTTGAGACAGTGTGGAGAAGGAGAGCTTGCTTGTGGGATGTAGGCTGAAAAGGAAGGTCAGCTGGGTGCTTTCTCTGCCTCTCTGAGCTATTAGGATTTCACTTCAGCATCTGACTCCTGAGTCTTTTATTGGTAAAATCAAATGATTGAGATTTTGTTAGAAACAACAGGTTACTGATATTATATGACAATTTCTAAAGTGAATGTCTTTCTAGCTATCTATTTTTTTACTCTGGAAAGTCTTTGTTATATGCAACAGCCTAAATGTAGCATATGAATTATGTGACCCGATTCCTCCTGCTCAATAAAGTCTTTTTATATCACATTATTGGGGTCAGATCTGTTCAGTAGAGTCTGATACATGCTTAAACACAAACTGTTTTATTTTCTGTAAGTGTCCATGAGATTACTTAATGCCTCAGGGTCATATGATTTAGAACAGATAATTATCTCATATGGTTGTTGTAGAAATAAAAATAGACATGATAGATCCATGAAGAGAAAGGTGAGTTAGGTAGCTAGCCAGCCAGCCAGATAGAGCCCGGCACCTAATAAACACACAGTCAATATTTCTGAACTATTCTCTTGAAGGGATGTTTATGAACTGTGTCACTGTATACTTATCCACAGAGACATCTGTTCTCAGCTCAAGAGTTATATCTGTGGCTAAGGGAATACACTGAAAACAAAGCTGGGCTTCATCTTTCTCCTCTCCCTCTTTCCTTCCCCCCACCACTGTAATGCTTATCCCATCAAGTACTTTCTGGGCCCTCCACTAATCCTTCATACACACTGCCTATACACTGTAATGCTTATACTGTATTTCAAGCACATATGAATATTTGTATCACTCACAGTGAGTTCTGTGAAGGAAAGGTGAGATTTTACATTTGAATTGTAAATCTAACCCCTGCAATCCAGGGCTGGCACAAGACATAAGCTTCATAAATAACTGCCAGGGTAGGGGAGAGGTATGGATAGAGGAAAACAGAGGGGAAGGAAGAGAAGGAGGGAAGAGGAAGAGGAAGAGAATAAGGAAAGGAATATATGTGGAGGGAGAGGGACAGCTTCTTATAGTCAAGCGCTGTGTACTTTGTTGTAAGAGAAAGCACTGTATCATTCTCTTACCCTTCCAGGGAGATGGCCCTTTGGAGGGTCACTGAAGGCTGACGAGTTGCAGTGCTGTGCTGGGAATGACTGTAAGAGAAGAGAAAAAAAACAAAATAAGAATAGAACATTTATGAAAAATACTTTTGCATATTTGAATAAGTCTTACTGTCAAGAAAATAACATTTTGAAAGATATAAGAAACTAAATTGCTAATGATTAAGTAGAAACATACACCAGATTAAAAAAAAATACTCTTCTATATAATGGGTTAGTTTCCCTTGTAATTGGGGTTCAACATGAGTTATTCTGGAGTAAGCCTTAAATAGCCCCTAAATATGACACAGAGCATAAAGCATAAATCTGAGTATGTCATTTGTGTTTTTATATTGTCTGAAATTTTCATAAATGTCAGAGGCAGCAGACATCTGTGGTGAAACAGTATTTACCTGACATGACAGAGCCATTGCACATAGGAACTCATAGTGACTGTGGCTGCATGCATAAGGCCTACCCCAGATCATGAGAGCCCAAATCCTAGCATGGATGGGGGAAGGGCTCATGAAGCTCCACCACTCCTAGCTGAGAAGCTAATGACAATGGGTGCCTGCTGGGTTAGGGAGTGGCATTTTTCCTCGGGGGTGTGACTCCTGAAAAACTAGTGAGGTCTGCCCTTCACTTACACATTTGTAGGCAGCACTCACTGGACTCAGGGGACTTAAAAAGGAAGCAATGTACCTTTCAAGCTGCAGAATATTCTTTTTAAACAAAATATTGTACGAAGAGCAATCTACAAGCTAGAATAGCTTATTAGTTCAACTATGCAACATTTATTGGTAAGTTTAATTAGTAAGGATTCAGGTGTTTGATTAAATCTTAAAAAATTGAGTTTCCAGTTGAATATCAGTCTTGGAATTTGATGTGATTTATTATCTTGTTTTGGTTTCACATAGAAAGACTGATTTTAGTATGTAAGCAATTTAAATCAACATAGCGTCAATGGTCATTTAACCCCGCAAATAAATGTTTTATATGCTTATGTCCTTTGTTTCTGTCAAATCTATGTGCTGGAATCTGTTTAGTCATTAGGAAAGTTGAGGGGAAAGTTAAACCTTGAGCTCGCTCAAGGTCATCTCGTCATCTAGTTGACCTGTGTCTGAACTGCCATTTAGACCAATTCTAGAGTCACATTAATTAAAGAGATGGAGAACTTTTCGTCTGGAGAAAGGTACAACAATAATCTAACAGCAAAACTGTATCTGACCGAATGTGGTCTTTTACTGTGTGTGGGTTCCATTTTTACCACCTCCTTACACATCCATATACACTACGTAATTTTATACATGCACAGAACACACACAAATGACTTCATTTCATTATATAATTGAAGCATTTTTGGTAATATCTATTGTTTTAGGTTGATATACTATTACTTCCAGTTCATTATAGTTCATTTAGCCATTCTTGTAGTTGGATAATTAGAATATTTCTATTATTTTAATATTATAAACAGTGCTACAATGACCATTCTGTTTACTTTTTCTCATGTTACAATTTACTTTAGATGAATTACTTCAAATGCAAACAGTTACTAGCTTCCTCATACATATTATCATATACTATTCAGATCATATGTTTCTTTCTATACATACACACACACACATATATACATACATACATACGTATATATCTGTTTGCTGATTCTATTTAGAGTTACCCATATGTGTACATGTTTACAGAAGACCTTTTGGGATTGAATAACCTATTAGGAGGCTCATTCCAGGATATGTCTGTGTAAGATTCACCTCAACCTTAGAACCACTTTGTAATGAAAAAGATCAATTTATCTAGCTGTGTGCATTTGTGTGTGTGTCACAGCACACACACCGAGCTCAGGAAACAACCCGAGTTGGCTCTCTCTTTCCACCATGTGGATTCTGGGAGGTCAAACTCTTAGTTGTTAGTCAACACCTTTTCCACTCAGCCTTCCCTCCAGTCTCCTGTACAGTCTCCTCATGAGCCCCTGATGTCACACTGAGCCTTTTCGCCAGCCCCCTGACTTCATAAGTTTTAGCACTGATAAAAATGTAATAGATGGTCTGCAGGGCAGAGCCTTTCAGAGGCCCTCTGTGGCAGGTTTCTAGGTTGTTTCCTGCTTTCTTCTTCTGATGTCCATCCTCTTTGCCTTTCAGGATGGGGATTGAGCGTTTTAGTCAAGGTCTTCTCTCTTGATTAGTTTCTTTAGGTGTACAAATTTTAGTAGGTTTATCCTATGTTATATGTCTATATGAGTGAGTATATACCGTGTGTGTCTTTCTGTTTCTGGGACAGCTCACTCAGGATGATCCTTTCCAGGTCCCATCATTTACCTGCAAATTTCATGATTTCCTTATTTTTCATTGCAGAGTAATACTCCATTGTGTAGATGTATAGACGCTGAGACTTATGGCCAACTGTTGGGCAGAGTGCATGGAATCTTATGTAAGAAGTGGGAAATAGTAAGAGCTGGAGAGGATGGGAACCCCACAAGGAGAGCAACAGAACCAGAAATTTTGAACACAGGGAACTTCCCAGAGACTCATACTCCAACCAAGGACTATTCATGGAGATAACCTAGAACCCCTGCACAGATGTAGCACATGATAGTTCAGTGTCCAAGTGGGTTCCATAGTAATGGGAAGAGGGACTGCCTCTGACATAATCTGATTGTCCTGCTCTTTGATCACCTCCCCCTGAGGGGGGAGCAGCCTTACCAGGCCACAGAAGATGACAATGCAGCCACTCCTGATGTGATCTGATAGACTAAGATCAAAAGGAAGGAGAAGAGGACCTCCCCTATCAGTGGCCTTGGGGAGGGGCATGCGTGAAGAAGGAGGAGGGAGGGTGGGATCGGGAGGGGTGAAGGGAGGGGCTTATGGGGGGATACAAAGTGAATAAAGTGTAATTAATAAAAAAATAAAGGCACTCAAATATAAAAAAAATGTAATAGATGGAAAGTGACACTCAGAGTTACCATGAATGGTTCTTTTTTTAAAATATTTAAAAAAATTAATTATAGGTTTTTCACTTTGGATCCCAACTGTAGCCCCATCCCTCGTACCCTCTCCATCCCACCCTCCCCCATCTCTACCCATGCCCCTCCCCCAGTCCACTGATAGGGGAGGTCCTCCTCCCCCCCCTCCCTAGCCTATCAGGTCTCATCAAGAGTGACTGCATTGTCTTCCTCTGTAGCCTGCCAAGGCTGCTCCCCCACTCAGGAGGTGATGATCAAAGAGCAGGCCACTGAATCAATGAGAAGACCAGATCCCACAAAGTCAATACTCTAAGACTGGCCATACACAGTGGGTGTGCCTATGACTAAGAAATGACAGGTAACTGCTGCCTGGCATAAAATTTGTTCCTATGTGTTTGTGATTTTATTTCTCTTGTGTCAACTGTACAGTCCTTTATAATTTATCCTCTAGTTGACTAGAAAACACCAATAGTTCATGGGTAAAGATCAATATGGCTTACTAATCATGATTAATGGATAACTGGGATCCCTGATGACTTTGCCATTATTGGCCCAGCCCACATACTTAAAACAAAGAAATAACCAGTAGTTTCACTCTGCAACCGCCTCTGCATGACCTTTTTTTTTTTTTTCTATCCTGAATCCACTCATCTCATTAATACTGTGTTTACAGGTTTAGTGATATAACATGCACTAGGACAGGAGAGTGCTCAGAGAAATGAATTCCTTTGACATTTACACAGGCAGGGTCAGCCAGTTCTTGGTAGAGTGTAAACGTGAAACAAACAGATCCTTTCACAACAGGAAATGATTATTTTACTTTAGGAAGACAAATACAGTGAACTAACAGATAGTCAAGACCTCCAGTTAGGATGGGATTTTTCTGTTTACAGACAGTACCATATGTGCAGGGGGGACTTATGCACACGGTACATAGGGAGTATCTGTTTAGTGTGTGTATGGTGTGTGGGGGTGTTTGTATAGTATGTGTAGGGGGTACTTGTACACTGTTTATGGGGGTACTTGTACTGTGTGTAGGGGTACCCTGTGTGGCGAGTGTGCAGGGGGTATTGTACAGAGTGTGTAGGGAATGCTGATACAGTGTGGAGGGGTACTGGTCCAGTGTGTATCTGGGGTGCACGTACAGTGAGATAATGTTTGACAGGGGTAATTAGTATCTTTAAAACACAGAACATCTTCCTCTTGGGATCAAATCGATAGCATTCCCTCCAAGACTGGATACACATAGTGGGTGCTCTTACTACTGAGAAATTACAGGTAACGCAGCCTGGCCTTTTCACCTCCTCAGGCAATGAGGTTAGAAAGATGGAAAACTGAGAACTGTAAGAAAAAAAAATTAAGACAAAAGATAATGGTGATATTTAGAGCTTTTCAACATTGGAGAGTTTAGAAGGTAGAGGTGTTTCATCACAGATTGCTGCCATCTTCTCCGTAGCTACCCCTTTCCTAGGCAAGCATGTTTTTGGTGAAGAAGCACGTGACAAGCTTTCCAGTCCTTCAGCACAGGTAACATAGTACTCGCCCTGGCATCCATCTTGTCCACACAGCCAGAGCAGCACCAAAGTGAAAGCTCACCATGGCGTGTTCACATCTCTGTCCTCCTGCGAGGTCTTACGTGCTTTCAGAGCAGGGCGCTGTGCTTACGCTCTACTCCGTCTCAGCCCAGTGCTGACACAGGAAAGACACTTCATCAGTGTCTCTCTGAGGGATGAACGCCATAACTAAGCTCCACTTCCTTGGAAACCCCATCTTCTTAAAACTAGCAGTGACCTTGAGAATCAGGTATCCTATCTATTCTTGACAGAAAGTCAATTAAGTCTTATATCTTCCAGATGGCTGATGGCTAAATGTAAGCCAGATTGTCTGATTCCAGTGTTTGCCATACTGTCTTAGAGGAAGACACACTCAAAGCTGTGTGGCTAGTCCACTCTGAGGCCCTGGCATATTATGATACGAAGTGCCGAAAAGATTTTAAGCAATGGTAATATTTTTATAAAAAAACAGATCATCTTTTCAACGTGTACACCCAAATTTGATATCCCATTGCTTTCCAAAA